TCTCAAAGGGCCCTGTCTGCCTGCCACAAGGCAGCCTGGGCAGCTCACTGGGCTCTGCTGTGATGATCCAGGCCTAAGTAACAGGCCAGGCCCGGGGTCAGCCTCAGGGAGTGGCGGGTGGCCAGGCAGAAACTGGGGCTAAGAGGCCAGGATGTGGACTCAGATGACCTGGGTCATAACCCCTTCCCCACCACTTACTAGCTGGGGGCCTTGGACAAGGTCGTTGCTCTCCCTGAGCCTCAGTGCCCTCATTTGTAAAATGGGCACAATAGCAGAACCCAACTCATAGGTTTGTTATAATGACTAATGCAGTGAAGCGCTCAGCACAGGGCAGGCGAGAGAGCTGCGCACAGGAGGAAGCAACTCAGATACACACCAGTGTTCCTTCACAGCCACTGTCTTAGGTTTTTGGGTTTTAAAATTTTTGATCAGAAAAGCTTCTCATTGCCTGTCTTTGCTGGCAACTTACTGTGTGCACCATTATGTGCTCAGAAATCGATCAAGTGGAAATCAAGTCCCCACTTGCCTCTGACCAGCTGGATGACTTCGGGCAAGTCGCTCCTCTTGGACCTGCCACTTCATCTGCAACATAGAGACCTCCTCTCCCCCAGTGTACAGCTCCAGAGGTGACCTGGAGAGCCTGGGCTGAGGGGGGCTCTTTGCTGCGAATGTGTCCAACCCCTCCTCAACTTTCCAGTCACCCCCCTCTGTGCTGCACATGGCTTTGCAGAGTACAAGCTGCCTTTGTTGCTGTTTTACAGCGAGGGACGAGCCCAAGAACAGCCCCTTGGTGTCAGAGACCCACGGCCTCCCACCTTAGAAAGAAATTGGGGACCCATGAGATCAACTCCTCCCCACCCTCCAGACCCCTGAGCCCCTTCCCAGGGCACACATTCCCTCTAAAGGACTGGCTCAAGTGGCTGATCTACCATGGATTGCACACCTCCAGTGATGGGGAGCTCACCACCTCCCATGGCCTCCACTCCATGGCCCTAATTGTCTGTGTTTTATTGAGTTGAGTGCTGCCCCAGCCACTTCCACTGGGCCTGACTTCTGGGGGCACCAGACCCTGCTTGCTCTCTCTGCTCTGGGCTGGCTCCCCCCAAGTCTTCCCGTAGGTTCTTCCAACCACTCCCCACCACCACCATCACAGGCAGGCACTGCAGCCGGGCAGACCCGGGTTTACATTCCAGCTCTGTCTGTTCCTGGCTGTGTGACCTAAGGCCAGCCACTCTCCCTCTCTGAGCCTCAGCTTCCACATCAGGAAAATAGGGACAAGTAAAATAATCATGTGGCTGTTTTCTTTCAGTCGTTAGTGGACTTCTGAGATGGAACATAATGACTATGAGCCCTCTAGGAACATCACCTGATGCCACACAACCCTCCTGGCCCCCTGCCACTTCTGTGTTCATTCAACAGACAGGGGCTGAATGCTCACTTTGTGCTGGGCTCTGTGCTTGGCTCTGGGCACTGGTAGGGGGTGGGGGGGCATCCCTGTCCCCACAGAGGGAGACGTGTGAGAGCAGAGTAGGCCAGGCAAAGAGGAAGGAAAGGGAAGCCCAGGCAGAGAGAACAGTGTGTCCAAAGCCCCACTCTGGGAAGAGCCTGGCCCCTGGGGGAACTGAAAGACCAAGACAGCTGGAGCTCAGATGTCATTTGTTCAGAGGATTGGGTTTCAAAAACTATTGTACATTCATACAATGGAATACTACTCAGCAATAAAAAAGCACCCTCCATGTTCACTGCAGCATTATTCACAAAAGCCAAGACATGGAAACAGCAGGTGCATAGACAAGGAAAAGGCAGTGTACATATATACAATGGAATATTATTCAGCCATAAACAAGATGAGATCCTTCCATTTGTGACAACAAGGATGGACCTGGAGGGCATCACGCTAAGTGAAATAAGCCAGATAGAGAAAGATAAATACTACATGATCTTACTTACATGCAGAATCTTAAAAAAAAAAGAAGTCAAATACATAGAAACATTGTAAAATGGTGGTTGCCAGGGCCTAGGGGGTGGGAAATATGGTGGGATGTTGGTCAAAAGGTACAACTTTCTTTCTTTTTTAAAGATTGGCACCTGAGCTAACATCTGTTGCCAATCTTCTTTTTTTTTTTTCCTTCTTCTTCTCCCCAAAGGCCCCTAGTACATAGTTCTGTATTTTTAGTTGTGGGTCCTTCTAGTTGTGGCATGTGGGACACCACCTCAGCACGGCTTGATGAGTGGCACATAGGTCTGTGCCCAGGATCCGAACCAGTGAAACCCTGGGCCGCCGAAGCAGGGCCTGCAAATTTAACCAGTCGGCCACGGGGCCGGCCCCACAACTTTCAATTACAAGATGAATAGTTCTGGGGATCCAATGTAAAACAAGCTGACTAGAGTGAACAATACTGTATCGATCTTATTCTCAAAAGTTGCTATGAGAGTAGAGCTTTAACTTCTCACAGTAACAACAACAACAAAATGGTAATCATGTAGGTGCAGGACCTGCTGACTAACTTTATTGCGGTAAACATTCGGCAATATATCCATATATGAAATCATCACATTGTACAGCTTCAACTTACACAATGTTATATGTCAAAGATATCTTAATAAAGCTGGGGGGTGGAAAGGACAGAGTGGTGATACAACAGGTTGGATTGCAAAAAAATGACGTGGGTGGGGTGTGGGGGAGGGAGAAGGCAGCAGTTACACAGCCAGCCCTTCACTGACACGAAGTCTAAACTGGTGAAATGAATCTATAGTGACAGGAACCAGATCACCGCTACATCTGGAGGCCACTGACTTGGAGGGGGCAAGAGAGAACTTTCTGGAGTGATGAAAATGTTTTAGCTCGTCATCAGAGTTTTAGTTATACGGAGATAAATTTGTGAAAAATTCACCAAGCTACACACGTGGGATTCTGGTATTTTACTGCACCTCTGTAACTTTACACCCTAAATTAGACCTGAATGTAGTTCTGACCACAACAGAACCCGGCCTTTGTTAAAGGATGGACCAGAGCGACGCTGAAGGCCAGCTCCAGATGTCAGGCTCCAGCAGAAATCCTGGGCCCTGCCACTTCCTAGCAACATCCCTTCACCTCATTTTGCCTCCCATTTTCAATATATTCCCTCACTGGGCCCTTAGACTTTAAGGACTAACCAAGTTAATTCACGTTAAGCACTTAGAATATTGCTGGGCACATGGTAAGAACTCAACAAATGGAAGCTTTAAAAAAGAAGCGGGCGCGGCCTGGTGGCGCAGCGGTTAAGTGCGCAGGTTCTGCTTTGGTGGCCCGGGGCTCCCCGGTTGGGATTCTGCCTGCAGACATGGCACCGCTTGTCAAGCCATGGCGCGGCAGGCGTCCCACGTATAAAGTAGAGGACGATGAGCACGGATGTTAGCTCAGGGCCAGTCTTCCTCAGCAAAAAGAGGAGGATTGGCAGCAGTTAGCTCACGGCTAATCTTCCTCAAAAAAAATAAATAAGCCGGCCTTGAAGCAGGGGCCTGACCAGCCTTCCGGAGAGGGGCCTACTGCTGGACTGAGAAACAGGAGCCTCTTGCGGCAGTCTCCGGGGAGGCAAAGTGTGCAGGGACTACAACTCCCGGCATGACCCATCCGGAGCGGGGCACGCTGGGAGTTGTAGTCCTCGCCGGCCCAATACACCCAAGGATGCGAGGCTGTGAGGCTGCCCTCTGGGACTGGGGATGCCCGGGAGGATCAGGCATCAACCATACTCTGTCTAAGCTGGCTCTAGCGATGGGCAAACGCGTCCTCTGGTCACTGTAGTCTCCCAACCTCCTGAAGGAGATATCGTTGCTCCCACTTCGCAGGCGAGGAAAGTAAGCCTCCGGGAATGGCCCAAAGAGGGTAACCAAGATCTGGTGACCCAGTCTTTGCTCTTTGTATATCGACCCCGGGCTGGGGGAGGGGACAAATTGTCCGGGAAGCAAAGTTTCTTTGAACGGCCACGGAGTCGTGTTACTTTCCCAATTTCACAGACGAAGAGACAGAGACAGTCTCTTGTCCAAGGTCACGCTGGCCGCGAGCCGGCGGCTGAGAGGCCAGGCCCCAGGCGCTTCGCCCTTGCACGCCCTTTGCCGCCGGAAGCTGCGTGGGCGTGGCCGAAGGACGCCCCGCCCCTTCCACCCTCCGCTCCCGCGCGCTTGGTGCCGTCCTGGTAGTTCCACGCGCTCCCGGGAGGGGGGGGTGAAGCTGCGCAGCCGACGTGGGCCCCGCGCGCGCGCGCGCGCGCGCCCGGGTGGTGAGGTCTGCGGACGGTTCCACTGCGCGGGGCCAGAGGGGGGGCCGCGGCAGGCGGCGCTCGGGCCGCAGCTGGACCGGGATCCCCGGCTGCAGCGGGAGCGACGCGCCGGCCGCCCGGTAGGGGTGGAGCCCCGCCGCGGCCCCAGGTAACGCTCGGCCCGGCCCTTGCGCCGGGCGCCCCCGGCGCGGGGCCAGCGAGGACGGAGCGATAGGGAGGGCCGCGGGCTCGCAGAGTAGCTCAGGGACTTCCAGCGAGGCCTCTGGCGGCGTCCGCAGAGCCGGAGCTCGCTGTCCCGGGCCCCGGAGCCAGAGCCGCTCCGCTCATCTGTCCGCCCGCTAGGTCCCAGTGCCCCTTTTTGGGGAGCCCTTGGGAACTACATGTCCCACCGTGCCCTGCGTCCCGCGCATGCCCCAATCGCAACCCCCGCGGGTCCCGGCTTCAGCTGGGGCCCGGGCGTCCCGCACAGAGCAAAGAGGTGCCGCAGTTCTTTGGCCTCGTTGCGTCTGCCCCAAACATTTTACCAACGCTCCTTTTACCAGCCGCCGGGGAGCCAGAGCGTCCTGGGCCCTGCCCTGGAGCGGCTGTGGGTCCGGGAAACACAACTGCACCCCAGCGCCGTCGTTACTGCTTTCAGGATGTAGAACGCCGGGGGGTCGGGGGGGTCCAGAGAGGGTCTGTGTCGTGCCCAAGGTCACACAGCTTCCCTTGCCTGAGGGCCACTAAGCCCGAGTCGAGCTGGTGCCGGGGGGGGCGGTCAGGAAGGCGGTGTGGGTAGGGGGTGCGGTAGGAAGCTGGCCCTCGAAGTAGGAGAGAAACTCAAGATGGAGGGAAAACGGGGAATTCGGTTGGGCTCATCTCCCCGGGCCTGCTAGACGCCGCGCTCCTGCAGCCCTGGTTTTCATCTCTGGACGTCGTGGTGGCGGTACCTGTTCCCGCCCCTGCAGACCCTGGGGATTCCAGTGGTGAGAGCTGCAGGGCGGGAGGGAGTCAAAGGGAGCTCATCCCGACGCCACACCCACAGCACACACGCCTCGAAGTGCAGACCGAGACTCAGAAAGTCGGGCAGGTTCCGCCAAAGATGCACACACAGTGACAGCCACTGCTGACTCCCTGGGGTAGGTCTCTCACCATTTCCCACCTGGACCCACAGCCTCGCAAAGGTGGCGACTTCCTCAGGGTCACAGGCCTGGTAGGAGGCAGAGCCGGGGCCCAGCCCAGCAGGCTGGCGGCAGAGGCTCTATATTTAAGCGTCGGCGTGGTCCGCCCCTCAGTGGCCCATGGCAGGTGAACAGCAGTGCTGCTCCCACCGAGTGCTCAGGAAAGGCCACTGTCGCCAGTGCCGTTCTCGTCGTCCTGATTTTACAGAGGAGAGACAGCCAGAGAGCTCAGAGGGAGTGAGTGCCACAGACCTGAGTCCCAGACCTGGGGCACCTGTACAGACACCCTGCCCTCCCCATCTGCACAACGCAGCTGCTGCTTTTTAGGGGAGCCAAAGCGTGGGGCTCAGATGTGAGGGCAGTGTGTTCAGGCCTGCCTTGAGCAGAGAGGACTTGGCAGGGGGCCTGTCAACCCCACCCTGGAGTGGGAGGCCTTGTGGTAGCTGGGAGGTCTGAGTCCTGAGCTGTCTTCACCAGGCTGTGCTGTGTGTCCCTGGGTGCTCCCTCAATCTCTCTCTTCTGCCTGGAAGGCTACTGGGCCCTGCCTTTTTGGAGGAGGGTTTGAGGGGTCTTAGAAGAAAGGAGTGGGGTGCTTTCTGACCCCCAGAGGGAGAGTGGCAGCAGGGGTCCAGGCTCTTGGGTATGTGGATGGAGCAGGGCAGGGCCGCAGCAGGAACAGATGACCCTGCCTTCTTCCTGCCCAAGCAGAATCCCTCCCACCTCCTGCAGAGGCAGCCTGGGGGTGGAAGCTGGAATGTAGCATCCAGCGCTTTGCATTTAGAGGGACAGGTTTCTCTGCCACTCAACACCCTGTGATCTGGAGCCACCCACTAGTCTCTGAGCCTCTGTCATCTCTCTCCTCTTGCCCCTGGGACGTCTGTGCTTTGGATTATCGAGCAGCTCTTGGGGACCCTGTGCTGGCCTTTGCATTGCATGAACCGAACTTAATGTGAGGTTAGAATGTGATTGCAGGTTTGCCTGTGGATGGCGAGTGAGTCATATTCCCTCTCGCCTGAGTATCCTCATCAGTAAAATGGGGCAAACGTTCCTGCCCAGCTCTTAGGTCATTCGGTCTTAGGGAGACCAGTGAGAAGATGATCAGGTTGGGACTTGCCCAGACAATGCGGGAGACCCTAGAACCCCAATTTTTCCACAGAACTTCACAGCAGATGCCTGGGCAAGGGTAAGCCACCCCTCCCTGTGGTTTCTGGAACCCACTGGGCCACACTTCCAGGATCCGTGGCTTCCTGAGCCGCTGTGCTCCGTAAGATGAAAGTAACAGAACCTGGCTCTGAGAGGGCAGGGGTGGGGGTGGAGGTGGGGTGGCCTGATGACAGTGAGGACGCAGGAGGTGTGCAGGCTATGTCCCCACATTGGGGTGTAAGGCCTGAGACTTTGGTGAGCCTGAGGGGATTCACAGGGAAGTCTGGATTTCTGCTTCTCTGGAAAATCTGGTAAAATTGAGCGTCTTTTGCACTTGCTCCAGAGTGATTCTGCACGTGCCCAGAAAGGTTTTTCAGGTCAGGGGGAGATGTTCTTGGCCTCTGGTTCTGGGGGGATCCCTGAGGGGCTGTGGAGATGTGCTGAGGGCTTCCCAGGGGAGTAAACCAGAGGATGGTGCATGAGAGAAGACAGGGCGGGGGTTTCCTGGCGCTGTAGCATGAGGGGCGAGGGTCAGAGCCCTTCCTTGGGCATCCACCACCCAGTGTGCGCCAGGCCCTGTGGGGCAGGGGAGCCGGCCACAGAGAGACCTTCTGCTGTCAGGAGGCAGGGTGGTAACAGTCCTGCTTGTCCTGAGGAAGCCAGAGCAGTCAACTGCCAGAAGACAGGGCAGGGGGCTCGGGGAGGCAGCCTTTGGGCTCAGCCCCAATGGTTGAGCAGGGTTTTGCCAGAAGTGAGTAGGGAGTGTTGCGGATGTTTTAGGCAGAGAGAATGGTACAGTCAGAGGCTTGGTGGCTTCAATGTTCAGAACTGGATTGTGGCTGAAGAGTGGCTTTCTGAGAGTGGGGAGTAGTGAGGTACTGTTCTCTGTGGCCTCAGGCAAGTCACTTCGCCTCCTGGAGCCTCAGATCCTAACCTGTCAAATGAGCCTGGTTACCCACTGGTGTCTGCTTCCCAGTGAAGGCTGGACAGCAGTGCATTCAAAATGCTGAGTCCCTCAGGCCAGGAGGGGTTTATTGAGACATGAAGCAATTGTGACAGGGCTGTGAGCAAATGAAATGGCATGAAGTGAAGATCAGGGTGCATCTAGCCTTGTGTTCAGAGATGGAGGAGTTCAGTACAAGCTGGAGACTTCACAAACAGCTTCCTGTAAGAGGTGAGATGGGAGCAGAGCCTCAAACAGCAGAGAAGAGGAATGGATTGGTATAAAGGAAGAGAGAGGGCATCCCATGTGGGCAGTTGAGCTGAGCAAAGGCAGGAAGGTGGCAGGCAGGGAAGGCCAGAGGGAGCAGCACCATGACTGTGGGAGAGGGCCTGAGGAGAGGTGAGCCTGAGAAGTTTGGTGGGGGAAGCTTGTTAAGCACAGCCCCGAAGACCAGGCAGAAGGGAGCCATTGCAGGTTCTGTCCTTAGACAGGTTAGCATGGGGGTGATCTTAACAATGTAGGCACCTTCGAATGTGGGGAGGATTTTACATAGTAGGAAAACTAAAAGGTTGGAAGGGATATAGGATATATAAGGAGAGGGTTAGAGAAACGCATCGCCAAGTACAGCCCTGTTTATTCTCAGGCACACGTCGTTTTAACTGTGATGGATAGAGTTTGGCATTCAGGTAACGTGTAGCACTGCATCATGAACCTGATCTCCTGTTTCTAGAGATCTGCAAACAACCCCTGACCACCATCTTCAGTCATTGTGTTGCTGGCTACACAGCCACCATGCAGTGTCAGATTGTTGCTGGTCTCAACAACACTCTGATAGCATGTCTGTCCTCAGACTTCCTTCTGGATTGGTTCCATTGGATACCTTTCCTGAAGGGGGGTTTTTGACTCTAAGGGAATGGAAGTTTTTATGGTGTAAAAGACTTAAAACATACTCTTTTACAGTAATTTTCTTTAGAATTTTCAGTAGGGGGGCTGGCCCGGTGGCACAGTGGTTAAGTGTACATGTTCCACTTCGGTGGCCCGGGGTTTGCCGGTTCGCATCCTGGGTGTGGACATGGCACTGCTTGGCAAGCCATGCTGTGGCAGGCGTCCCATGTATACAGTAGAGGAAGATGGGCACGGATGTTAGCTCAGGGCCAGTCTTCCTCAGCAAAAAGAGGAGATTGGCACCAGTTGGCTCAGGGCTAATCTTCCTCAAAAAAAACACAAGAATTTTCAGTAGGTTATATGGTATAGGGTTTTTTAAAAGGAGCAAATGTATAAAAGCATATACAATAAAAAAATCTATCCTTCTGGCCCAGTGTTCTCTTCCAGTTCTCCCTGAGGACAATTGTTAATCAGTTTCCTGTATATCCTTCCAGAAATATTTTATGTGGATATTGTATATATCCAATTTTTAAAAAAGTGATACATACTGTTGTATCTTGTTCAGCATCTTGCTTTCATTTTTTTAAATTTGGGATTATGTAATATTGCAAAGAAACATAGAAAATGACACCCCCCAGTAGCCCACTACACAGACTTAACAAATGTTAGTTAACCTTTTGCGCTGGCATCTCATTTAGGACTGTCTTGGGGAAGCCCCGTGTCAGTGCAGCTCCATACAGAAGAGTCCAGTTATTAACTATATGCATACACCATTCTTTATTTGGCCTGCTCCCAGCTTTTGGATATTTAGGGTATTATTGATTTTTTTTTTGCTTAAATTATCGATGTGGAGGTAATACCCCACTTTGTATAATGTCTGCCCAAGGAGGCATCAAGGCAAAGAGGAACGAAGCTCTGCTTTGGCTTGGGTTCAAATACCTGCTCAGCCAGACTTCCTAGCCGTGTGACCTGGGGTGAGTGACGCCCCTCTTGATCCTCTTTACCCATCTGTAAAATGGGCAGGCTGTAGGAATCCCTCCTTCTCATAGCTGCTGGGGGGAGTACAGTAGAAAACTAAAGACTTTATGGGGCATAGTTCCCCAGTCCCCCGAGGCAGTGCTCTCTGCGGGACACCAAACTCCAAGGCCGGCCAGGCAACTGAGGCGGCGGGAACGCCGGACTGCCGCAGCTCACGCTTCAAGCTGCTCCCCGCCCCTTTTCCTGGCCACGCTGGGGGCGGGGCGGTTAAGTGACTCTGTGACGTCACCCCGCGCAGCACCAATCCCCCTGCCAGGCAGGCGTTAACTCGTTTGCATGGGTTGCCCGCTATTGGTCCGTTGGGCAATCCAGGCCGTCCCAGCTTTTTAAAGCCGCCGCGTAGTATAAACAAGGAGATGCGGGGCGGCCAGGGCATGATGTCATCGCGGCGCTGTAGCTCCTGGGGCTGACGTCATCTCCGGGGAGGTTGCCGGACCAGGCTGTTAGAGCCTGCCTAACCACTCAGGGCTTAAGAGGCCGCCCCTGCCCTGTCGAAGGTCAGCCCCATTGCACTTCAGTGTCCCAGGCTGCGCCCCGTCCTCGAGGAGGGGACCGAGACACAGTAAGTCCGAACTGCGGCTCTCCCAGCGGGACCCATTTTTCCGGCAGAGAAACTGAGCCTCCGAGGTGCGAGTCGTTCGCGAGCCTGCGTAGCAAGTTGGAGTTGCAGCCGATAGGTCTTGCCCACCCCGGGGGGGGGTCTCCCAACTTTTGGTCAGGCCTTGGGGCCCCGCCCCTTGCCTATTATGTCTGCGGTCACTTTAAGTGCGAAGGTGGGGGCGAGATGGAGGTTTAAAAAAAAATCTGCCTTCCAATATGGCGGCCCACTAATCACGTGTTTGCTCGTGGCGAGTGATTGGCTCTCGGGCCTCCGCGGGGCGGGGCTCTCGGTACGGGGCGGGGCTGCCGCGGGCAGCAGCCTGCTACTGTTTGCCGGAACCTCCCGGCGCGCCCCCGTGATCCCCCCTCCCGCCCGACGCGCGCCCCCGCCGCTTCGAATGTTGTGAATCAAATGTGGGGTTTGTTACATTCCGCCGCCGCCGCGGACAGTTCTTAAAGGGCCAGCCACAGGCAGCTGCGCAAACCTAGCCGCGTCCTGCGCCGCCTCCCGCTCCCAGAGGGCCGGGGCCGAGAGAGGCTGACCGCGCGTGGGCCTCGCGAGGCAGACGCCGGCGGACGGACAACAAAGAGAGAGGGCCCCAGAAGGAGCGGGACTGCCCCCGGACTGGAGGGTAGGGAGGGAAGCACATTGTTCCGCAGGGCGGGGGCTCTTAAAGGGTCCAGGCAGCCTCGGCCGCCAGCCCAGCTTGGCCGTCCTAGATCGGGAACAAAGGAGTCAACGTGTGGCCAGGCGGCTGAAGGTGAGTCGAGGCCAGAGCCCCCAACTCCTGATTTCCGCATCCCTGGAACTCCTGGCCCCCTCCCCTGGGACTGGGGCTGTGATCTTAGAGCTGGTTCCGCAGGGGTTAATGGCGGGCGGTCCTGAGGGGGAACGGCGAGACCTCTAGAATCAGGGCCACCCTCGTCCCCCGCGCCCCCCAAGGCCAGGCCGAGTCTCCCTTCTCTGGAGGCTGAGCGCTGCGGTTGGAGAGGAAGGAGCCGCCCCCTCCCCCTGCTGCCGCCACTTCCTTTGTTGTTGCTTTTGTCTCACGCCAAGCACATGGTCCGGGAACCTCGGCTCTTAAAGTCACAGCGCCCTGGCCCCTGCGCCGCAGTCCGGCCTCCTGCCCCCGGTATTCCTCCGAGCGCGGCACTAAGGAGTGAGAGCGAGACGTGGGAAGGCCCCTCTCCGGCTGATACCCGCATCTCGGCCCCCCATCCTCATCCCCCGGGAGGGGTGGCTGAGGAAGCTCCCCGGAGTCCCGCTGCCTGCGCCTGCCCCGCGGTGAGGAGGGGCCTGCCCCTCAGGGACACTGGACATTTTCACTAATGTGGCCAGTTGGTTTTTTTGCGTCTTGTCTTTTCGGGCTTGATTTGGGCTCCCTGGGAAGGAGAGGTTTCCACCCCCATTTTACAGTTGTGGCAACTGAGGCTCACGCGAAGAGATTTCCTTGATCAAGGTCACTTAGGGAGTCTGGGCTAGCCAAGGACTTCTATCTCTGAGCTCAGTGATCCAGCCCTCAGCTACCACCGGGCTCCACACGTCGGGGAGCTCTGCTTGCCCAGCAGGCAGTGCTGGGCCTAGCAGGCCTCTTGGGGGCGTGGGGGAGGGGGGCCGGGTAGGGGGGTGGTGAGGAAGTAGGGAGGTGGGCATCCTGCCTGAGTCTACTCATGCTCTCAGGGGCTGATTTTGCTTACCTGCAAAACAGCCCCTGCTCCTGCAGACAGCCCCCAGGCCTAAATGACATGGCAGGAGCACCCGACCAGGATGGGGATAGCTGCTTGGGGCACTAGAAATAGGCATTTGGCTGCCTCCTGGGGGAGAGGGTGGATGTAAGGTGCGGTGCCAGCTCCCAGGCAAGATTGGGTTTAGGGGTGGGACCTTCAAGACCCATTTACACAGACCTCCTGGAGAACACAGCACAGAGAAGTGTGGAAAGCAGAGCTGTTAGGGGTGGCCACTTGGCCACCCTTGCTATGCTGTTTGACCTTGAGCAAGTTGCTAGCTTCAACTCTGAGCCTCACTTGCTTCTCTCCATAATAGGGCTAGGCACTGGTGCCTGAAAGAGAAAGCTCTCCCCAGTTCCTTTAGGACCTGGAATAGAGACTTGGGACGAGGCGCTTCTTGGGGCTGCTGATGTCCAGGGTTGGCAGGATCTGACCTAGGGAGCCAGCCAGGACCAGTTCTGTCCCTCTTTTGCTTTGTGGCCTAGAGCAAGTTACATCCTTTCTCTGGGTCTCTGTTTCCTCAACTGTGCAGGGGGTGTGTCCCCTCTGTGCCACTTCTATTCCTAGTAGGACTTCAAGAACCAGGGCCCCTCCCTTGCCAGTTGCGGTATTCCCCTGCAAAGGCATATTTCCCAGCCGCCTCCTGCAGATCTTGAAGTGGCACCTGGGTTCTGCTTGGGAGGCGGGGATGGAGGTCAGGCTGTCTTCTCTAATAGTGACCAGGCGCATCTAGGCTTCACAGGTGTCTTCTGCAGTGGCCTTCCAGCACACCTTGCAGTCCACTGGGAGGTGGGTATCGGGCTGTTCCCATTTTGCAGATGAAGAAGCTGAGGCTTAGAGAGGCGAAGTGATGTGTCTAATTTTCAGCCAAGACTCTGGCCGCAAGTCGAGGTGTCATGTGTGAAAATGCAAGGGTTGACACTGTCAGCTTTGGCACCGTCACAGCTGGAGGCCTTTCTGTCTGCTGGTTTGGTTTCTCAGCTCTTTGCCACTTCTCTTTCCTGAGGAGTGGGTATCTTTGAAGGCATCTGGCTGCAGAGCAGATTCCCATGGGCTTGGGCCTCTGTGGGGTCTACACCCCTGAGTCTTGACACTGCCCAGACTTCGGCACGACAGCCTGGTGCAAGAGGAGCAGTGGAGGCCTCTGCCCAGGTCATGTCCCAGTGCACTCTTGGCTCTGGCTAAGTGGCCTTGGACCTCACCTCAGTGTCCCTACTTCTGAGAGTTGCTGTGAAGGCTCATCAAGGTGGCACAGGGGAAGTATCGTAGTTGTTAATATTCCTCATGGGCAGCACTGTGGGCTCCCAGGACCTCTGAGGTCAGTTCGAGCAGAGGTTCCCAAGCCTGGCTGGCTGTGCTGTAGAAACTGCTGGGGATTTGGTAAAAATCCCTGTGCCCTTGTTCGCCAGCCCTCCGAAGATTGCGCTCCAGAGAGTCTGAGTAGGCCAGGAGTTTCTTGTTTAGTTATTTGGGGGTTTCCTCTGAGTCTCTCTTGGCCCTTGTTTGCTGGGCTGGATTGTAGCAGGAATCAGGGAGGTTGTGTATGTACACACGTGTGTAAGGATGTGCACTTGGCCCACACCAGGGGGTCACAAACCTAGTCACCTCTGGTGGGCAGGCGGGAGTGGGTGTGGGGTGGCCTGGAGAGGAGGCTCATGCTCCGGGTGAGGGGGGCCAAGCAGAAACAAGAGCCTAGTGGGACTAGATTCCTGCTGTCCCCCCTCCCCAAGAAAAGCCAGATTTTTACATAATCCTTCCATTTTTAATCACTGGCAGTAACTTCAGTGCTGTCAGACTGTGGCCTTGGACCTGTGTGATCGGCTCTCCAATGTGCATTTACCACATCAGGCCTCCTCGTGCTGGACACAAGCTGGTCACTGGGCCCTGCCCACCCCTCTGCCAACTGCGCGAGCCTAAGTCGCGTGGGAGAAGTGTGAATTCCAGCCCTTATACTTCCTGTGCGGCCTTGGCCGGCTGCCGTCCTCTGAGGTGGAGAAGAGACCCCTTGCAGGCTTGTAAAGCCCAGCACAGGGGAAACGTTCTTGCCGCCGTCGGCAGGAAGGAACAAGGTGGTAAGGAGACAGCACGCTGGCTCCCTGGCTGTGTCATCAGGAGGCCACACTTAAAGCTGGGTATGAAAGATGTGCAGGAGTTTCATCCGATGGACAAGGGCTGGAGGGGCTTCCCTGTGGCAGGAACAGCAAGGGCTGGTCCTGTTTGATGCACCCTTCAGCTGTGCAGGGCCTGACAGATTCCAGAGCTTTCCCTGCCAGAGCCTCGTCCCAACCTCTGAAGTTAAATGAATAGTCCCCCACCTGGAGCCCCAGCTCCCAGCCGAGGGAGGAGACCTGCTCCCCTCCCCCCATTTCCGTCTGCTCAGCTTCCTCCCTGAGGTTCTTGCTTCCCCTTTTTTCTCAGCAAGCCTCACCTCCCTCTTGGGGGCTGGGTTGGTTGTGTCTGTCAGTGGCCAGCTTCCTTCATCGCCTCCTATGAAGCCTTGGGCTGGACCCCACTCCCTGTCGATGCAGTGAGGGTGCAGTGAGGGGCTTGTGGTCAGCCCACCTCCCAGCTTTGACACTTGGGCAAGTCTCTTCCTCTCTCTGAGCCTCAGTTTCCTCTTCTGTAAATCAGAACTACCAACACCTTCCTTGACGAGCAGGTGAAGTGGCACTTGGGTAGGCACTGTGGGGACAGGTTATGGAAGGAAGGAAAACTGACTTGCCTCGGACTAGGAGCCCCCAAGGGTAAGAACCGGGTCAGAACTTCTTACCTGGCAGTAGTGGAAAGAGGGCTGGGCCCCAGGCCTGACTGGAGTCCCCCCCCAGGAACCCCAGCTGCCTCGAGGCCAAAGTTTAGACCCGCACCCAGGACAGGGTGCCCTGGGGATCCCACCCTGAGGGAGCCTCACCAGAGCCATGTGGCCCAGAACCATGTTGGCCAGCCCTGTGAACTCACCACAGCCCTCGGTGAACTCCATCCCACTTCGCAGAGCAGGAAACTGAGGCCTGGCTCCCTGCAGGCTAAGCCTGTCCCTGTCTGTCAGCCTTGGAGCCTAGTGCCGAGAAGAGGGCCACACCCAAAGTGCACGCGGCACGCGGCACGTGGTGCCTGGGGGCGTGGTGGATGTCAGTGGCCCCTGGAATCGGACTGCAGAGGTTTGATTCTGTCTCCCTGATCCCTGAGGGGGCAAGTAACTGGACTTCTCTGTGCCTCACTTTCTTTGTCTGTTTGTCTCTTAGGGTTGTGAGCCCCGGCCCAGCCCCTCCACCCTTCTGCCACCCCTGATGCGACCATGGGCCCTGGCAGTGACTAGGTGGCCGCCCTCTGCCCCTGCGGGTCAGTGGCGATTCTCTGCAGGAGCCAGCAGCACCCCGGGCCAGCTCCGGGGAAGGTAGGAAGGAACCTCCCAGCCCTGCCTAGCGCAGAGGCCCCGGTGCGGGGCTGTCAGCTTGGGCTGGAGCACGGGCGGGGACTGGGCCCAGGGCCCTGAGCTGTCTTCCTTCCCCAGCGGGTAGTGACCTTGGCTTCTCTCCATGCTCTGTGAGTGAGTGGCCCCCCTCAGTCCTACTGGGGCCTCCTCTCTGTGGTGCAGCCCCGGCCGCGAGGGCCCCCTGGCCGGCCCGCCTGCCCAGGATGAGCGCTTACCCTCCCAGCAGCCGCTGCCCCGGCCACCACACCTCCCCGTAGAGGAGCGCCGCGCCTCGGCTCCTGCCGGCGGGAGCCCACGGATGCTGCACCCGGCCTCCCAGCAAAGCCCGTTCATGGTTGACCTCCACGAGCAGGTAGGCAGAGCAGCCCTGCCCGAGGCCACCTGCTGCGCCCTGCCTCAGGCAAGCCAGTCTGCGCTGGTCCCCGGTTCCACCAGGCTCAACCAAGCTCAACTCGGGGAGGCATTATTAGCCCTGTTTCACAGGTTAGGAAATGGAGGCCCAGAGAAGGGAGGGGCCTTCCCTGGGGCCCGTACAGTGGATGAGTGGTGGAGCCAGAAGCTCCTCCCAGGTTCCCAGAGGTTCTCTCTGCCCTCTGGGCCCTGGGGCCGGGGGACAGCCCGGTCTGCACCCAGGGAGGCCCCAGCTAGAGAAACGATGGGAGCTGGCCTGGCAGGACTCTCTCACCTGGGGGCAGCCTCGTGGCCAGACTTCCTTTCTACAGTGGTGAGGTCTCTGTCTGCCTACAGGTGCACCAGGGACCTGTCCCTCTGTCCTACACAGTCACCACAGTGACAACCCAAGGCTTCCCCTTGCCTACAAGCCAACACATCCCTGGCTGCAGTGCCCAGCAGCTCCCAGCATGCTCCGTGATGTTCAGTGGGCAGCACTACCCCCTCTGCTGCCTCCCACCCCCGGTGAGTGAGCGCCCCCGCTGCCTCCCTACCCCGGCACAGGCAGCAGCAGAAGCCCACCCAGCTTATGACACCCATCCAGGCTGTCAGCGTGCCATCCCAACTCCAGGCTGCACCCCTGCCCAGAAAAGCACATGTTCGTTCAGTGCATTCCGGTACAGTAAGAGCATTTCAGGGCTCAGGGCCCTCCCTGCGCCCCAGTGCCTGCCTTATGGCTTAGAGTCGTAACTCTGGGACTTAAGAGCTTAGTGTCCTGCCTGGGTGGCCTAGGCCAGGGATAGGACGGCCCACTGGACTTCAGTGGGGACCTCCAGCTAGATGGAGTGGCCCTTGGCCCTCATCACGAGCATAGCCCAGCCCAGAGGAACATTCTCCAGCCCCTGCCCACTCTCTCGGCAGCTGATCCAGGCGTGTACCATGCAGCAGCTCCCCGTGCCCTATCAGGCCTACCCTCACCTCATCTCCAGTGACCACTACGTCCTGCACCCCCCCCCGCCAGCCCCACACCCCCAGCCCGCCCACATGGCGCCTCTTGGGCAGTTTGTGTCGCTGCAGACCCAGCACCCGCGTATGGTGAGTCGGGGTGATGGGTCCGCTGCTAGAGGGGATGACACGGAGGATGGGGGTGGGGGGCTTCCCTTGTCACTGACTCTGGCTGACCCGCTTCTGCCTCTTCCAGCCCCTGCAGCGGCTCGACAATGACGTGGACCTGCGGGGGGACCAGCACCCCCTGGGGAGCTTCACCTACTCCACCTCTGCCCCGGGCCCGGCCCTGTCCCCGTCCGTGCCTCTTCACTACCTGCCCCACGACCCACTGCACCAGGAGCTGTCCTTCGGCATGGTGAGTGCTGACCCTCAGGCTCTGGGGCAACCGGGAGACAGGCCCGCCTGCTGACCTGTACCCGGCCCCCTCTCGCAGCCGTATTCCCACATGATGCCACGGAGACTGGGCACCCAGAGATACCGCCTGCAACAGCCGCTGCCCCCGCCACCCCCGCCGCCGCCCCCACCCCCGTATTACCCCAGCTTCCTGCCCTACTTCCTGTAAGTACTAGGCATCTGCCCCAAGCTGGGGCGCTGTGCCCTCCTGGGGCCTCGAGCCATCTGGAATCCCCACCAGACACACACTCACACTCCAGCTGGGCTCCCTGCCCTCCTGCCATGTCCTGGGACAAACTCGGGGTCTCCAGTGTGAACGGTACAGGCTCTGGGCTTTGTTTCATGGAGGAAATCAGGGGAGCGGCTCTGTGCCCCCGTACCTACTCAGCTTGACCCTGGGCCCCCGTACCTGTCTCGCCCTAGCTCGATGCTGCCAATGTCACCAACAGCAGTGGGGCCCACCATCAGCCTGGATCTTGACGTGGATGACGTGGAGATGGAGAACTATGAGGTCCCGTGGAGCCCTGTTCTGGGAGGTGGGGGCTTGGGGGACCTGCGGCCTTGGGTGCTGCTGACCCTCCCTCCTGCCTGTGTCCAGGCCCTTCTGAACCTGGCGGAGCGGCTGGGAGACGCCAAGCCCCGAGGTCTCACCAAAGCGGACATCGAGCAGCTTCCGTCGTACCGCTTCAACCCAGACAGCCATCAGTCGGAGCAGACGCTGTGAGTGCTGGGCCCGATTCCTGCCCCTCCGTGTGCACAGATGGCCACAGGGGGCCCCCTCTGAGGGGATCCACTCTGCCATGAGCCTTCCCTCAGCATGGAGATGACGCTTTGTGCCCTCCTCCCAGGTGTGTCGTCTGCTTCAGCGACTTCGAGGCGCGGCAGCTGCTCCGAGTGCTCCCCTGCAACCACGAGTTCCACACCAAGTGTGTCGACAAGTGGTTGAAGGTAAAGCATCCCCGGCCACTCCGTGTGGTGAGGGAGGGGGCAGGCCCGGAGGGCGTCCCTGCTCGTCCCTGTCAGCATCTAGGAGTCCTGGCTCCACTTGGGGCTGAGTCCTCACCAGGCGAGGGTGGAGCCTGATGTGCGGCTGTCCCCGCAGGCCAACCGGACGTGTCCCATTTGCCGGGCTGACGCCTCCGAGGTGCCCAGGGAGGCTGAGTGAGGCGCACCGCTGCCCAGGAGAGCCCTGCCTGAAGCTCTGGAAACTCACGGGGACCCAGGGAGGACGGGGAGGGAGTGGCCCTGGCCTGCCCCGTCTCCTGCCTGCCTCTCCAGAGCTGGTGCCAGGCTCAGCCCCGAGAGAAGCCCCTGCAATAAGCCCCTGCGTTTGCCAAGCTCCAAAGACTCCTCTCCCAATCTGCCTGCCAGTCCACCTGCCACGGAGCCGCCTGCGTGTCCCTGACTCGGTCTCCCTCCTGTTTGCCCATGGGTCTATCTCCTTTCTTGCCCGTGCTGGGAGCCAGGGGTCCATTCCCCCAGTGCGGCTGGTGGAGATCTTTGGCCCCAGGATGGGCAAAGGGAGCACCATCCTGGGGTGGCCTGGTCTCTTGCACTGAAATGGTGTGCCCTCTGCCCAGGTGGCACTGACAGGCGCACGGACAGACGGTGGCATGAGGCCATTGCCTGAGCCCCAGGCCTGGGTCCTCCTGTCTTGACACCCCCCACACACAGACTCAGGCAGCCAGCCCCGCCCAGGCTGCTGTGAGGGGTGGGTCTGGCTCCCTAGGGGATCCTCACCCCAGGCACAACATTCCAGCCCCACCCCCAGGCTGGAGGGTGTCAGAGCCAGCCTCCTCAGCAGATGGGAGTCAGGCCCTGAGCCGGGGGGCATGCATCTTGAGGGCCTGGGCTACGGTTGGGAAAGCGACCTGTGTTCCTGTGGCTGCCCCTTCCTGGCAGTGACAGGGCCAGCCCCACGCCCAATCTCCCCCTCTGTCTTTTTGCATGAATGTGCGGAACAGCAGTTTTTGTTTATTCATTTGGCCCAAAATCGCGTGTAGGATTTGGGGGTGTGGATTTTTAAACAATTTGTTTTCTTTTGGTTTAAATGGGGGGTATAGGGACCAACCAGGACCAAATGCCCAGGGGGCAGGGAATGGTCCGGTGGAGCCGCCTGGTCCGCATGCATGTGCACGGCTGGGGTGGGCCGGCGGCTGGTGGTCATGGGCGGGGTTGGGGTCTGTGCTCAGCTGATAACTGCCATGCACTGCACTGCACACGTCCCCAGAGCCTCCCGGGACCGGACGCTTTTCAGGGCATTTCTCCTCCAGCCAGGGCCCGGCTCCCACCTGCCTGGGTGAGTCTCCTCCAAGGGAGTCCTGGGGGGACAGGGACCAGGGCGGGCATGGACCCCACCTCTAGGGGCCTCCTCCCAGCCTGAGCCCTGCTCTCCAAGGTCAGGAGGAGCCCCCTTGTAGGGTCTGGCTGGGCTCCCACTCTCTCCCTCGTGGTCCCATTCCTTTCCTTCCTTACCCCCAGCTGGGGTTGCTGCCCTGAACGAACTGCGTGTGGGGCCGGCACATCCTAGCAGGCAGCCCCTGGCGCCTGCTGCCTCAGGGATGCTCCAACCACCCTCGTTCTCCCCGCAGCGCCCTGGCTCCTGCCTCCCCCTGCCTGCCATGGGGCCCCATCAGCCTGGCCCCACCCCATGGAGAACCCAAAGTCTTACTGTATATAACTCCAGGTGACCTTTCTATATTTATAGCAGTGTTGAAACCCCACGTGTTTTACACAGAGAACTACCCTCTCCAACCCTCCTCCCTTCCCCACCCCAACAAAAGGTTTTCAAAACGCTCCCGGTTCCTGGGGCAGGCAGGGACAGGCTCACGGGCTGTGTGTTGGCTGCGGCAATGATTCCAACGAGCAGCTATCCGGGGGGAAATACATTTAAAAAATAATTTAAAAAAAGATTTATGAAACAATTACTTAGGATGTTTGTGATTTGCCGACCTTGCTATAGATGCCATGTTACCAATGATTTCCTGTGGTGGGGGCTTGTCATTGTTTACTCTTCTTTGCCAACTTCTGGCCTAGGCATGACAGTGGGCACCATCCCCCAGCCCCGGCTGGGCCCAGCACCTGTGTTCTGTGTTAGAAAGGTTCTTTATATATATATACTTACATATATATATATAAATATATGTAATTTGGGGGCCCTGTTCCTTGCACATTTTACAGTTACCTCATTTTTCCCATGTATGTATTTGAGAAAATGCTAATATATAGAGAAAAAAATGGTTCTTAAAGCTTAAATGTGTGGTTTTTTCCATTCCATTGGATTCACATTGGTTTGTAGCATTTAACATAACTAGTATGTTTTATTATATATATGTGTATACTGATTGAAATTTTTAACAGATTTGTACTTTTTTTAAAATGAAAGTTGCTAGTTCTGCTTGACCAAGTAGTGCAATCATTATTTTTTTTAATATTGTTGCTGATTTCAGAGGGATATTCACTAATAAACGTATGATGTATACCAAGTATTGCCCAAGCTGCCTTTGGCCCGCTGTGTTCTTTTGGTGGGAAGCGGGGGATCCGTCTGAGAGTGAGCGGGGACCTGGGATGAGGTGGCAGAAAGGACTGTTCTCCACTTGGAGCCTGGGAATGAGTGCCTCCCACTGGAGAGGCTCCGCCACACCACCTCTCCGATCACTCGTTCTGGGCCGTCTGCTTCACCCAACAATCAGGCAGGATTCTGTTGGCAAGTGACAGGACTCCCCCTAACTGGTTGGAGGCAAACGTCTCTTGTTGGTCTGTCATTTAAATTCTGGAGGTAGGTTCTGCTTCAGCATGACTGGATCGGGCTCAGGCATGTCATAAGGAACAAGGTCTCCCTTCATCTGATGATAACTTTTTTTTTTTTTTTGAGGAAGATTAGCCCTGAGCTAACATCCACCCCCAATCCTCTTTTTGCTGAGGAACATTGTCCCTGAGCTAACATCCATGCCCATCTTCTCTATTTCGTATGTGAGATGTTGCCACAGCATGGCATGATGAGCGGTGCATAGGTCCACACCCAGGGTCCAAACCGGTGAACCCCAGGCTGCCAAAGCGGACCACGCAAACTTAGCCGCTACACCGCTGGGCCGGCCCGGACAACTTTTTGTAGAGCTCTTCCTATGTGGTGGTTTGTGGTGCCTCCAGCTCGGTTTCCTCTAGTCTAGCGTCATATCTATGGGAAAACCATTTAACCCAGGAATTCTAAGCATTTCTGGGAGGAAGTCTTATTAGACCAACCTGGGTTATATGCCCATCCCTGAACCATTTGCTACCGTCAGGGAGCTACAACAGCATGATTGGCTCAGCCTGCATCACAGACCGCCGCCCCACAGGTCCCACTGACCAGAGGAACTTGAGTCCCTCATCCCCAGGCTCAGTGGGGATGAAAGGCCTGAGAGCCACAGAAGGGGCCAGACAGGTGATGCGGCTGCATTCCTCTCAGCCGGGTAGGTGCGCGGTGCTGCAGGGACATCAGCTGACTAGTTAGCGGCACAGTCTGGGGCAGGAGCAGTGAGCTGGAGTCGGGTCCTGGGACCTTGCGTCTGTCTGACGCCACTAGCTGTAGCCTGGGTTGGGGCACTTCTCTTTTGGCATTTGTATCATCTGCAAATTAGGGGATAGAACCATTGAATGATCCCGTAAGCGTGTTTCAGAGAAAGTCTTGTGGGAGCATAATGGAGTTTGTGCAAAAAAAGGGCTCTGCGGTAAGATAAATTTGGGAAATTCCACACTGAAGGTAATAGGAGCCTATACTGCAGAGCTTCTCCGAGCCTTGGCTAGGCTGATGTGTACTGTGAATCTCTAGGAATGGATACATACCGTGGGCAGCATTTGCTACATTTGGCTTGTTTGGTCACCTGTAGGGTTCAGGTTGCATTCTCTGGAGCACGCTGGGACATGGTGGACTAGACCAGTGGTAGCAACTGAGTTCCCAGGGCCCTAGCCTGAGAAAATTGTCAAATGCAGAAGTCTTTAAGCTTTTTTCAGTATTTCAAAAGGCCTAGGGGAAAGAAAAATCACATTGTCATGGCAATTGATGCAAAAAAATTTGCCAAAATTTCACATTCATTTATGATAAAAACTCTCAGTAAGCCAGGAATAAAGGGTGACTTCCTCAACTTGATAAAGAGCATCTACAAAAACCCTACAGCTAACATCATACTTAATGGTATTAAAGACTCAATGCTTCCTCCCTGAGATCAGGACAAGGCGAGGATGACCACTCTCACCACTCCTATTCCACATTTGCTGGAAGTCCTCATTAACACAATAAGGCAAGAAAAAGGAAATAAATTAGGCATTGGAATGGAAAAGGAAGAAATAAAACTGTCCCTATTTGTAGACAATGTGATGAAAATTTATGTCGAAAATCCCAAGGAATATACAAAAAAAAAACAGAACTAAATGAGTTCATCAGGTCATGGGATACAAGATCAATATACAAAAATTGACTGTATTCCTATAAACTAGCAATGAACACAAGGAATTCAAAATTAAAAACACAAAGATACTATTTACAATCACTTAAAAGAGAAATGATACACATGTATTAATCTATTGAAACATGTTACGAGAATTGTATGTTGAAAACTGAAAAACACTGATGAAAGAAATCAAAGACCTAACGTTAATGAAGAGACGTGTCATGTTCTTAGACTGACAGACCCGGCACTGTAAAGAAGTCATTTCTTCCCAAACTGATCTGTAGGTTTAATGCAATTCCTATAAAAATTCCAGCAAAGTTTTTTTGAGCTATAGACATGCTTATTTTAAAATTCATATGAAAAGGCAAAGAAACTAGAGTAGCTATGATAATTTTGAAAAACAAAACTAGAGTGAGAAAAATTGCTCTAATATTTTTTTTTAATTTATTTTTTTGCTGAGGAAGATTCTCCCTGAGCTAACATCTGTACCCATCTTCCTCTATTTGTATGTGGGTCACCACCACAGCATGGCTGCCAATGAGTGGCATAGGTCCACACCCCGGAACTGAACCCAAGCCGCCAAAGTGGAACACACCAAACTTAACCACTAGGCCATGGGGCTGGCTCCCCTCGTTTCAAGACTTACTCTAGAGCTGCCTTAATCAAGACAATGTGGTATTGGCAGAAGGATAGACAACTAGATCAATGGGACAAAGAACCCAGAAAAAGACCCACATGAGTGCAGCCAACTGATTTTTGGCATTCAGTGAAGGATAGTCTTTTCAACAAATAAACTGGACTATTTGGACATCTATAAGAAAAAAAAAAGGAATCTTGACTTAAACCTCACTCTTTATACAAAAATGAACTCAAAATGGATCATAGATTTAAAGCTGAAACATAAAGCTAGAAAACTTTTAGAAGAAAACAAGTGAAAATCTTCACTAGGGCCTAGGGCTAGCTGAAGCGTTCTTAGACACGACGCCAAAAACACAACCCATAAAAGGAAAAACTGACAAATTAGACTTCATCAAAAAATAATCTGCAAGTCACATATCTGACAAACAACTAGGATCTCAGATATGTAAAAAACTGTCAAAACTCAAACAAACAGTCCAATCAGAACAAAAGACTTCAACACGCATTTCGGCAAAAAGGATATTTCATACATCCAACACCATCGGCCATTAGGGAAATGCAAATTAAACTACAATAAGATTATTACACACCTATTAAAACAACTAACATAATAAACAGTGACAATATCAAATTCTGGCGAGGATGCACTGAAATCAGATCTCTCATACGTTGCTGTGGGAATGTTAAATAGCACAGCCACTCTGGAATATAGTTTGGCAGTTTCTTTTTTACCTTTTTAAGCATTGTTTAAAATCACTGATTTTGCTACAGTCCACCATAAATAAGTCAGTGGAGGTCTCACTGTCATACGTGCATCTGTGAAGTCCGAGCCCTGAACCGTTCAACTGGTGAACGTGTGAACGACGTCCCAGCTCTTACCCCAGCCGGAGTGCACACCTTCCGTGTCGTTCCTGTCCACTGACTGCTTCCAAATCCAATGACCAAATAGTCCTTTATCCCCAAAGCAAGCTCAGAATGGTTGGCTCAGGCATTCCGGGATCCGCGCCCTCCTGAAGCCCAGATGAACCTGAGCGGAACACAGCCCAGCGGGTCGGCTGCCCTTGAAGAGCTGCTCAGCCTCTGCGTGGCCTCTTCGCTCAGCTTCACGAGGCGATGGCCCGGCAGTTTCTTATAAAACCAAAGATATACTTATATATGACCCAGCAATTGTACTCCTAGGCATTTGTTCCGGAAAAATGAAAACGTCCACACAAAACAAGTGCACAAATGTTCATAACTGCTTTATTTATAATAGTTCCAGACTGGGAGCAACCCAAAGGTTCTTCAGTGAGTAAATGGTTCCACAGATTGTGGTACAGCCAGATGGTGGAATACTACTTATCAATAAAAAGGAACGAACTATTGATAAATACGACGACTTGTATGGCTCTCAAGAGAATTATGCTGAATGAGAAAAGCCAATCAGCAAGGTGACATATAGTTCCATTTATACAACATTATCAAAATGACAACATTAGAGAGATGGAGAATACATTAGTGGTTGCCAGGGGTTAGGGATGGGGAAGGGATGGTGGGGAGGGTGTGTGACCATAAAAGCTGGCAGGAGGAAGGCCTTTGTGGTGGTGGAGCAGTTCTGGATCTTGATTATGGTGTGGTTGCACAAACACACACATGTGGACGAAACTGAGAGAACTACCCACAGACACACAAACGGGTGCATGTAAAAATGCCGAAATCTGTGGATTGTGCTGATGTCGATTTTCTGGTTTTGTACAAGATGTTAACATTGAGGGAAACTAAGGGTTCCTAAGACCTTTTGGTAACATTTTTGCAACTTTCTATAAATCAATATTTATTTCCAAATAAAAAGTAAAAAAAAAGGAGCCTGTGGGAAATTGGACGAGACCCGACCTTATGAATCAGATTAAGTCCTATCATCTTTGGGCTGCAGTTCTTTTTTTTTTTTTTTTTTTTTGAGGAAGACTGGCCCTGAGCTAACATCCATGCCCACCTTCCTCTACTTTATATGTGGGACTCCTCCCACAGCATGACTCATCAAGCGGTGCCATGTCTGCACCCAGGATCTGAACTGGTGAACCCAGGGCCGCTGGAGCAGAACGTGCACACTTAACCGCTGCGCCACCGGGCCAGCCACTGCAGTTCTGTTGTTTTAAGGTGTGGCAGTGGTGGGGGCAGGAGGTCGTTCCGGTTACCTCCTTCTTTTCAGAAGCTCTGCCTGCCAGCAGCTCACAGTGCTGGCCGGTGGGGGCCGTTCACTGAAGAATGAATGAACTGGTAGTAAGCAGTTTCTCTATTTTAGTAACACTTGGTATAATAGGCAACGTATTTCCAACGGGTACGCACCACAAGCTGTCCTCGGAGGGAGGCGGATGGAGCTCCAGGAGTGGATGCTTTCTCACCGCTTTTGGCCTCAGTATACTTTGCGCTCAGCCTGTAGACTGACAGA